CCTGCTGACGGAATGGCTCCTGCGGCTCCTGATGTTCCTCACCCTTAAGCCTCTCATCATTTAAGTGAAGAAAGTGAGATTTTGCAACTGTAGCCATTTGTCTCAAGATGGAAAGTTCCCCAGCACTCAAGGCAGGAGAAAAAGTAGAGGGCTTTTTTCCTGTACCTCATCAGAAGACACAGTTGGCAAAGACCAAACCTATCCTCATGGGTTACTATACTGGATAAACACTCCTTTAGAGATCCTCACCCACACCTGAAGTCTTGATGGCCTCTGGTCTAAAAATCCATTCAGTAATTGTAACTCTCAGACAAAAGGAATTTCTCACAGATTATTAGACTTTCTGGCCCTGGAAAACCACCTGTGTGACTTCATTTAAGCCCAATCATTTAACCTGAGGTCTGTTTCTCATCTTTTCTTCCTTGAGACCCAGTGAGTCTATAGCGGTGTGTATCTATCATAGCACAGGATGCTTTGACCCCACTTCATAAACAGTGTGGGACAGGATGTTCCTCATGTTCATGTGAGGTACAAACAACTGTGAATATAGTACTTCTCCAGATGGCTTAGTTTATTCTAACTTCCTTTTCTTGTTTTTCTAAAATGTGGGAGTTACTTTGTGGACTGCTTAATACCAAACATGACAATACCTAACATTTCAATAGAACTTCACAGTCTGCAAAGCCCATTACATGAATTCATGAATGATATGTATGCCTACACATCATCCTCTCACTCTCTTTTACAACCCTGAAGAGTAGATGCCAGTGACCTTCTCAAGTAATTTTTCATCCATACAAATTTGAGATTTTCCAATTTAACACTTGTATGGTAGGGACCCTATCATCCTCTTTTGGGATTTCTTGGCCCAGGTTTAATAAAAATTTATTACCAAGTACTTTGAAAAATGCAAGTGATCACTAAATTTTAATTCAGCCTACAGGAAAATCTCATTAACTCGATATTGGCTAATTCAATTTAATGTCTTCTTCAAAGAAATTTCTGTTCAACCAGATGATCAGATGGTTTGTACGTAAAATAAACAGTTAATGCACAATGTAAAACTATGATAAAATTTGAACTCAAAATTTGGCTCAAAGACTTTAAGAACTGGTTTCTTTTAAAATAAAGATAATCTAAAATATAGAAATTTCAGAAAGTATGGGAAAATGGTATTAAGGTGGGGAAAAAATGTGTATATAGATATTTAAAACTCTTTGACCACCATCTGTTAACAAGTACATGGTCAAGCACTGGTTTTTTTTAATTAAAAAAATAATTTTCCCTAAATTTCAGATAGATTAACAAATGCTTATGGTAACTATCTTAAAATTATGTTACTAATTGGTATTTTAAATAAAAACTGATAAATTTAATTAAACCTATTTTCACAAATATTACAGGTTTTTAGAGATTTTCAATAACTTACTCCTTATTAATGCCACTTAAAAGACAATGCCGTTACTTTGGTGTAGATAAATTATTTTATGATGAAGTACAATGAACTGGCCTAATTCTTTTGTTCTACAGGGATTTCTGAAATATAGAACATCACATTACATAAGTACATGGGGCTTAGAAACTAGTTTGTAATAGAGGTTTTTTTTAAATCTGACAAATAGGAAAATAATCTGGACATGAGCTGAGAATTTAAAATTAGCACACAGCTTGGTCTTCAACCTAAGACAATCTATAATGACCACTTACCAAGTTTCTAGTTCTGTCAACATTACTGAGTTTTCCAGACACTGTACTATAAGTGTTTCCAATAGGCTTTTCAGCAGGGAGAGGAGGTGGGCGTTGTGGATCCTCATGTAAACCTGGAAAAACAGCAGTAATTCATGAATGATTTTTGGTCTTTGTGGATTCCAAAAAATGAAATGATTGTAGTAGCTTGGTTCCTCAGGAAATGGCTATTATAAAAGATCCACACAAAGAATGGATAGCTACGCAAATGAGGAAGAACTCCCATCGAACTTCAGAAAATTAATGGGACAGTAGATATCAGTTAATTTTATCAAATGTTTTATAGAGAGTAAAAATAATACTAAATACTTAAAATAGCAGCCAAGAGTTTTGAGAACCTTCTATGTGCCATTAAGTTAAAGCACTTTATTCACATTTATTTCTCCAAATAACATTTATCTATGTGCTAGATCTGCGCAGTCCACTAGCAAGTAGCCACACACAGCGATTTAAACTTAAATATTAATTATTTAATATAAAATAAAATTAAAAGTTCAGTTAATCAGTTGTACTAACCACATTTCGAGCGCTCAGTAGCCACATGTGGCTGGCTAGTGGCTACCATATTGTACAGCACAGATATGGAATATTTCCATCTTTTAAGAAAGTCCTATTGGGCAGCACTACACTAGATAATATCCTACCCTTTTTACAGATGAAGAAACTGAAACTGGAAAGAAAATATATGAGCTATCCAAGGTCTTAATGCTAGTAAATGTCAGAACCAGGGTTTTGAACCCAAAAGCTTGTGCTCATTGTAATGAGGAATGCTGTTTCTTAATAGGTGGTATATCCAACCCTCCCCCAGCCAAATAATTAAATGTTTTCTAATTCATTAGGTCCAAATTAATGGGCTTAATTGCCCCCTCAATTTAACAAACAATGTCTTGGCATCCAAACTACATCCTTAACTCAGTGATAGTGTACCATCAACTTATTTTATAAAGAAAACAAAGATGACCTGATTTAATTAATGACAACTAATTAAAATCTGTGTGTAAACACACTTGGAGAGAGGGATGATTGTTAACATACTAAAGGGAGGCAAAAACCACCTTTTACACATTGGCTGAGGCATTTAAAGGAGATTGGAATTTTTCTCATTCTTTCAAAAGAACACATTCTGCTTCCATTTCACATGAAAAGCCTATAACAAGAGGATGATTTTGTCAGGTTCCTGTTTTATCCACAGGCAGGAACAGTCTCAAAAGCAGGAAAGTACCCACGCCAGCTACTAAGGGAACAATGATTTGCATGCAGGCAAGCACTCTTAGTGAGAGGCAGTGCTCCTCTGGGAATTGAGACACACAGGGACATTCCAACCCAGCTGCCATCTGGAAGACTTTCTCTATACTGCAGCTTCCTTATTTTTTATAAGGGAATAATGCATTATTGAGGATGTAATATTGTTGTGACAAACAATTAAGAATACAAATTAGTAACAAACAATATGCAAGTAGAGGGAAGACAGCTGACTAGCAGGAAGGGACACAGGGGATTATCTGGTGTGAGTGTGTGGGGAGGCACAGATTTCCAGTTTCAAATAATGTGGTCAGAAGAGGTTGAAATGAGAAAAGTGATATTTGAGCAAAACCCTGAAGGAATGGTGAAGGAGGGAGCCATGCAGGTAGCTGGGGAAGGACATCCTAGTCAGAAGAAACAGGTCCCCAAGGGGCAGGAGTTCTGCACCACAAAGCCATCCCTTTCTTCCCTTGTCCACTCCAAGTTCTTCAGACCTCAGAAGTCTTACTTTCCTTTTCCTCCAAAGCATAAATGCATTCATTGCTTCATCACTGCAATAATAAAATTCCGGGGAACGTTTTTTTATATAAATAGAAAAAATTCTAGAAACTGTCATTTCAGTTCTCTCAGAGCATTATAGAATTCCAACTTTCTGATAGTTTCTGGAGCTTTGACACGATAATGAATATAGCGCTTCCTCAATATATCCTTTTAAAGATTCCAGGGTTAATCTAATTTATAAATGTGCAGAAACAAAAGAGTAAACAAAGCTATACTTAGGTTATGCTGATTGGAATAATATACTTTAATTACTTTCCTACCATATCTTTACCAGAGGCACTAAGACAAAATATTACAATTATTCTGAGTTTCGGTCTCCCTCTATTCTCTCTACCTAAAGACAATGTTAAAGAGAAATGAAATCCAAATTCACTGTACTGATTGTCTAAAGAATTATTTTCAAAAAACTTGCTTTTAAATGCTCGACTATAAGTAATAATAAATGGCTGATTACACATAATTTCAAAATCAGATATTGATAAATAAGCATATATTTCTCCCAGGCTCTTGGCAAAGTCAATAAAGAAGGCAGAGAGGAACTTACATTTTCCTGGTTTGGCTGGAATTCGAATCACAGTGGGCTTCCTAGTGGGCGCTGGCTGAACTGTTCCTTCTTTTGTTGGTTCTGTTTTTGTGGGGAGCTGAAAAGGATCTAATGAAAAACACAGTTTATTTTGCATGGTTTAGTTAACATGGGCTCAAACAAAAAATCTCATTCATAATTAAAGAGTCATATTTTTCATGCCCCAGGGAAAACTATTCATGGATAAACAAAATCTCAGTTTGCAGAGACAAAAACAAAGTCGGAGTTCATGAAAGGAAATAACGTGCTACTTTGTAAATAATTCATACGGCTTTTCTGCCTCTCTGATGAGAGTGATCCAGGACAATCTTGAATTATGTAGAAGCTATCTTTCATGGGAGTGCAATCATTTCACAAATGTCCACTTGAAAATGAGAGGCAACCGAAAGAGAGCCAATTCTCCCCCTACTGTGAAGTCTCCCAGACCCCCGGGGAAGGAAAGCCTTCCCCCACACTCCCATGTCTGTACTAGAAAACTGAACCCCTGAGGCTCGTCAAAGTCCCTCATTCCACCCAGCGCCCGCCTGGCGCAGGGCAGGTGCTCAGCAGAGCCTCGGATTTAGTACTTTAGTGAAACTATACGGCAGTGATATGAAAAAAAAATTTTTTTATCCTGGAAAGAAAATAAGACATCTCCATTCAAATATTTAATTTTGGGGCAAGGATACATGAGTTGACATTTCTCCATCTTAACTGATTCATTAAAATAGGCAGCATATGCTTAGAAAAAGTACTTTAAACAAAAGCATAACTACCAAACTTTTTCACTGAAAGAGTCTTTTTTTCGTTAATGTCAATGTTGTTTTCAGTAGTTTGGAAAAATGACCACGAATTTTTTTTTTAAAGATCTAAAGATAAAAAGATTAGCAAAAATAAAATAAAATGCTCTATGATGGCTACGCAATACAGCACGGAGTATCTCAGGAGTGTGCCTTTGCCTTGATTCAACAAGAGGCAAAAGAGTATATGCAGTAATTCTATATCTATTCTATGCATCTTGCCTTAGGGAGACACCCCTGTACAACAACGTACTTCACAGCTCCTGTGATGAACAGCATCCATGTTCTGCCTGTTATGAGCTGCAATTCAATAAGCACTTTTTGCTGACCAGCTCTCTGAAGTATATGTGAAGAGCTGAGCTAAGGACAAGGCGGCCTTTCAGCTCCCTGATACTTCCCCTTCCCTTCCACTCAGTTCTCAGGCAACCCACCATCACATACCTCCAGAAGGCATCACTCAGTCATCAGCCACTTGCTCACATATGTATATCTACTATGTGCCGGTAACAGTGCTAGGTAGGGAGATGCAACAGTGAAGTACAATCCTATTTAAAGTTTATTATCTACCACCTCAGAAGGGCCCCCAGATGGCATGCTCTGTGAAATAATTATTATTAAGCTACTGAGAAAAAAAAAAAATTAGATGATATCTCTATGGAAACCTATCAGTTCGCAAGTAGGGTGAGTCTTGTCTAATTTCGAAAAACCAACTCAAGATTATCAAAACAATATCAAACTTCAAAAAAGGCTCTTTTAATAACATAATTTTCTTTCACTGTAACTTATGTCCTTATAAAACAAAGTTCCTTCTTTTAGGTCTAACCAAATTCTTTAACTCCTTATTTTATTATAGCATTATTTTTTACTTCAAAAGTAATATTTACTGTATAAATAGGAAATATTAAGAAATATGATAGAAAATCTTCTGAAATCTCATCCCTCCAGTAATAATTATTATCTGAGATGTGGTGTATCTGTCTACAATTTTTCTTCTATATTACATGTATTATCATGTAGGTATTTTGAAAAACAAAAACAGGATCATTTTATAGCCATTTCTTAGAAATTTGCTTTTTCACTTTTGTTCATTCAGTATTGGCTGGGTGCTTGCTACACATCAAACATTATTCTAGGTGCTGGGAGTACTTCAGTGAACAAAGAACTCGGCCCTCATGGCACTGACATTTTGGCAGGGAGATGAAGACAATAAACAATACAATAGATAAGTAATTCATATGTTATTTTAGAAGGTGAGATGTACTGCTGAACAAGAAAAAAGTAGAGCAATGTGAGAAACTTCAGGTGTGGGCTGAAAAGAAGCAGGTTGCAGCATGAAACAGGAGTGTAGGAGGCGAGGGAGAGGAGAGTACAATGACCTTCTTTTTCTGACAACTGGATTTTACATATTCTAGTAGGTCTTCCAAGTTGAATAATATACATCTGATCTTTAGGACAACAGCACTGCCAATAAAAAGGGGTAGGTACACTTGTATTAAAGCCCACTTTTGTGTTATCCAAATCTGACCTCCCTGAATGGTTCGTCTATTCTGAGTAATGCTAGGTAAAATAAAAGAATCTGAAGACCCCATATAATCTTGGCATACATTTTATTCAAACACAGAAACACAGTACCTTTCCTTTCTCTTCTCTCTCTCCCCTGCCATTGCCTCTGCTCTGCCTCCTTGGCCCTTGTTGGAACCCAATGACCTCCCGGAAAACATCTTCCTTCTCCAACTGCTACAGAGACTTAACTGTTCAGGGACTTGTCCATCCTCCCTCCCCCAAATCTTGGTTGGAATAGCTCATTCTCTCAGGGCTCTGTTTTCTGCTGGGAAAAAGACCAAAAATTCAAGAAAAGGATTAGGGCTGATAAATGTTCACTGTGGTCTACCTTTCAAGTAGCATTTCTGCTTTAAAGGCTACTTATTAGTATAGGTTTTTAGTTGATGATTTTGGGACGAGGGTGGGTTTGGAGGGGGGAGAAAATCTTGAGTATGGAATGACTTCAATTATTTCCCAACTCATACCAAATTCTGGGCCAGTATACCATCTATACTTTTCTCTCACATTCCAGGGGTGAGGGTACAAACAAGGGGGACAGGGAAAGGAGAAAAGAGGACAATCAGTGCCCTTGAAGGGCTGGGCACAGGGGCATCCAAATGTGCTTGCTGTTAGAAGACTAGCTTCAGGGAGCCCTGCCCCAAATCCTGCACACTGTGCAGCAGATCTCATTTTTTTAACTTGAAGGATTTAAATTGAAGTAGCATAGATACCCCTTAAATACAAAGTATTCAAAGTATCCTAGCTACCCACTTTCTCTCTCTTTTGGTTTTTATTTTACTATCATTAGCTGCTTTTAAATAACTGGCATTCAGATTACGTATAATTATTCTACTATATATGTCTGGGAAAAAATGTCTTTCTCAATACAGTGAAGCAAGGAAGGTGCAGTGTTCCAGTACTGTGGGGGCTGTTTGGCAGGAGTGAGTCTGTTTAACGACCTACCCCAGCTGTGCTCACTGAGTCAGTGAGCTCGGCATCTGCCTCTGTCTGCCTGCTGTCCTGGGCTGTAATCCAGGCGAGGGGAGCAGATTTGTGGGGGCGACAAACAGCACCACTTCAATGAGAAGGTGGAGCCAAGGACCAGTTTTTCATCTTGATTATGGTGTATGAGTCTCTCCCTAGCTACACAATATGAAGTTTACTTTTTATGTTTCTTTTATGAAAGGGTTATTTTTTTTTCCAACAAAAATGTAAGTGGGCAACATATAAAGCAAAAATGGCACCTCACGTATGGGAACTCTGGGCACTGCCAGGTGGGAAATTGGATCATTGGTACTATTAGAATGTTCACAACCTTTGACCCAGTTGTTCCACTTTTAGAAATTTATTCTTCAGAAATAAAAGCACTAGTAGAAGTGAAAACGTTCAGAAGAATGTTCACTGCAGCATTTTAGTAGCGGC